ACGATCCTTAAGGATTGTTTTGGGAAAATTCTCGGTTTGTCTTCGATGACTTACATAAGGAATATCCTAGAATGATTCTAGATGCAAAATTACAAACCCATTGACTTACCTATCGGTAAAAGCCAGAGCCTTAGCTATTGAGTGTACCCTCGTATTGTCTTTGGGAGAAACAGATGACCTATATTCCTTGATTTTTTCTTTGTTGTGGGACCTAAAGTACACTTTGTGGGCGTATTCAGCATGATAAGTGTTATCTTTGGTAAATGGTCAACTGAGTTGTTTAGACATTGACCTTACTCATTAGACTGTGGATAGAATGCTTTACTAGTAGTATATAAATTTGCCCCTTGTAAGATTCAATGCGCTAGTTGGGCGCATCTGCACTAGTTGGGCACATCAAGAATGAACGCAAATTGGTCACCAAAATATCTTTAGAAGGTACTGCGCAAGAGGTAGTGATCTTAAATCACTTTATGTGAGGCGCACATGGTGGATTCCGTGTATATACTTATCGCAAGAGGTGCTAATAAGGCTTATGTTTGGAATCTAGAATTGTGATCTTGAATCACTTCATTGAGGTGCACATGGTGGATTCCATTGTATATACTTATCACAAGAGGTGCTGATAAGCTTATGTTTAGAATCTAGAATTGCGCAAGCTGTGGTCAATTTTTTTAAAATCGATCACTATTTTGAGATGATGGGATGTTGACACTATTATGGTTTGTGTCATTATGATTAGCAGATGATGATGTCAGCAGGCAAGATTGGCTCACTCACACAACTGATTGTAAAACAGTCTTGGGAGCGAGCAAGGATGAGACTAGTGGTTTATTTTTTATTTGGAGCTAAGAGAGGCTTAAATAATCCACTATGTATGTCGCCTTGGTTATAACCAAGATGAGGTTGTGTTAAGGATCAAACATGGATGTTAATACCCACTTTCCATGTTGTGCCTGTTATAATTAGCCAGATGCGAGATCTCATTTGGCGCCTGGAAGGCGAGCAAATAGAGAATTTGGGTTAGACGCTAGAAAGCGACTAAACTAATATCTGTACGGTGTATCGAGGATGACGTCACTCTTTTAGAAGAGTTACTCCACCGTAACATGTATTCATACTATATGTGCTTAGCGACTGAGTAATGAGGTGAGAGAATGGATCCCTGTTTCCTCACCGTGTGAGTCTTACATGTCATTATTGATATGACTTTCATATATGTACCCTTTTGTGACTTTTGACTATGTCATAAGGAAAAGGGTTGATGTTCTGTTACCTTGGTATGTTACCTGCGATCATTTATGATTCGGCCTTAAGGGACATCACTGGGAAAGCAAGTCAATCCTAAACTAAATGGCATGAGGGCAAATGGAAGATCATCTAGTATTACACCACTGTTGTATATTCACTGCCGGCAACTCACATCGCTCTGTATGGAAGCGGATTGAGTGTGAATGTATTGCAAGAATTGAGAGGGTCAAACATGCTCTTTTTGAGGGATTAAAGATGTTTTTTGGACCGATGTAATTAGATGGGTCTGGGTATATGAACACTATTTCTGTTCTTTTTGGGTTGATGTCTCTATGCTGGCTCATTTTGAGTTTCTAGTATAGAGCTCCCACATGCAGGTGTTCTCAACGGTCGCACGGTGCATTGGCTAGTATGAGATTGTTTCATTTTTGGAGAGATTGAGATAGAGATGTGGCAGTGTCATACCAACTCATGTGCGAGTGGGAGATGTTAGAAATGGGCGCCCATGTGGCATGACCCTTTGAATCTTTTGAACCTTTTGAACCTTATCCAAATGGGTTTTGAATTCAAATTCAAACCTATTTGGATAACCACTCAGGATATATATATATATATATATATCATATAATTGATATGGATAGATGATATATCTTATATTATCTCATATAACTGATATGGAAAAATGAGATAAACATATTATATATATGATAATATGGGATATGGGTGATTAAGAGAAAAACAACGTATATTTGAGTTTTTTCCCGTATACTGACTCTCTCCCAAAAACTAACGATCAAAGCCATTTGCACTGTGATTTGTGTGGGTGATATTCACTATTGTAATATCACTCCATTGCTGGGTTGACTGATCAGATTCAGGAAGCACGTGATTTACCCACGAGATCCTTCAATTCAGACTCTGTTCTAAATGTATGACCATAATTTTTATTCCGCTGCGTTATACTTTGTTTTACATACTTGTATAATTCCTTTTTTGTCTTCTTAGTAAATTGATTTGTGACTTTGGCCCATGATTTTTTTATTTCCAATTGTGATTTTTTTCACGTTAAATCATTGTGTTGATTCGTCTTTAATTGTTTAATTGAGATTTTTATTTACTATTTAAAATTGATATATAATCACAAATCAATAACTCGGCGATTTTTAGATTTTTCAATAATTATTTTTAGATCGAAATTAATTACATCATTTTATATAAAAGTTTTGCACTAATATTAAATTTGAATAACATAACTTTACAAACATTTAAAATTAAATAATAGGCAACGTTCTGTGGCTTCTTTTTATTCCATAATAATTGTCAACGAAAGGGGATCATCTTCAACACTTTTTTCATTACGCTAATTATCTGGTGACTGATAATGACTAACTCGATGAAAAAAATAATAAAAAATGTTATGTGTCTTAAATTTTTTACTAAATGAATGATTAAATATTTTATATGGATATGGGATTCATAAAAAGATAAATCTTACATCCATGTGAGATATTTGATCATTTATTTAATAAAAAATTTAATATACCGAACATTACTCAAAAATAATATAAAAGATCCAAATCCCTTAATAACAATTCCAAGAACCCAAAAAAACGAAACCTAGAAATACACATATACCCGTAATAAATAATCAAACGTCAAAATTTATGATGAAGTAGCTCACAATAGCAACTCTAAATTTACTATAAATTAATAATTTTCTAATGAGTTAAAAAGACTTTTTCAAGACTTTAAGGCTATTCTGAAAAGATAGTTATAATTAATTTTTTGATGAAAAATTACTTATAAACAATTTATAAATAACTATTTTATAAAAGAGAAAGTGAATTATAATCTGAGAAGTAAATTATAACCCACTTTCCAAAATAGGCCAGCAGAGTCTATTCCGTTGTTCTATCAAATTGTGGACGTCTAATTATATGCCACATAGACTTATGGGTTGTCAGTCTTCGATCATGCAATATATTTATTGGTTTATCTTAAATTAAAATTGTAGCCATACACGTAAACGTCTAATGGAAAAAAGTTACAAACAACCCAGACATTGACTTCCAAAACCACTGGCGTATTTTAGCCGCTTCATCCAAACAAACAACCAAGTCTTTGGTATTTAGAATGATAGATCAAATCAATAATTTATATTTGAGTTAATTACTTAAAAATTTTATTTACAAATGTTATAGAAGTTTAGATCTTATTTAAGATTTTTTGAACTAATAAATCTTATAATAAAATTGAGAATATTATCATTTTTTTTTAATTTTTAAAATTAAGAATATTATCAATTTTACATAGTAGTGTTCCAGATAATTATTTCACTAACTGATGAAAAAAAATTGCAATATGAGATTAAATATTTTTGCCTTTCTATTTATTAGTTTGATTTAACTATCTAATAAAATCGAGAACATTGTCAATTTTTTCCAGTTTTAAAATTAAGAACATTATTAGTTTTTTCATTTTTGAAGTTTTTTTTTTTTTTTTTTTTTTTTGCACATCAGTGTTCCTTCGTTATAATCCTTTATAAACATAAAATTTTCAGTTTTGCACAAAAAATTTATTCAATTTTTTCATTTTTTTTTTTTAAAAAAAAACTTAGTTTTTTGTTTTTTGCACATAATTTTTTTTTAATTTGAAAGTTGATATTTTAAAGTTTTGAAAATCAAAATAAATGTCAAATTATCATGCTCTTTTATAGATAATCATAAATGATGAACAATCATTATTTTAAGGGTAATTTTGGCTATTAAAAATTTAATAGGACTTGAAGGTACAAAAAATCTTAGTTAAGACCTCGTTTGGGAACAGACTTTTTTAGAAACTTTTTGGCTAAAATGTGATGTAAAAAAATTAATATGTTTGGGATGACTTTTTGACTTTTTACGAAAAGATGTGCAAAAAGTAAGGAGAAAAGAGAATTTTTGACTTTTTGGTATAGATTGTTGGCTTTTTAATTTTTTAGTAACTTTTTTATTTTTTGGCTAAAAAAGTCACTTGCCAAACGAGATCTTAATGGAGTATAAGTTCATAAATTAGGACTTGTGTGTTTTATATTTAAAGTAGTTATTGTGAGATTAATTCTTGAGGGAATCTTGACCATAGATTTGAAATTTTGATTATTTCCTAAGATTTTTTTTTTTCTTCCTAAGTTTGTAACATTGCTAATAACTACATAGTTTATACTCCCAAATTTTTTATTTTTACACAAATGTTAAATATATAGAATTAGAGTACAGAGAAATATATCGTGATTGAAATTCATTCTAAGTTTAGCGTAAGTCATACTTAAAAGAGAAATTTCAATCATACCGTCTATATATATATATATATATATTTAAATATATTTTCTGTTTTATATTTCTATTATTTCGTACTGTCAGATTCTTTTATAACGTAAGCGTCATTTGCATGGCCCATGGCATTCTCAAATGCGTTGAAATGTCTAGTAGTACCGCTGCTACAGTTGAAAGCACACATAATAGCCAATTTATGCATATAAAATGAGAAATTATTCCATGGATTTGAACTGGACGATCACGTTATTTTTTATTTTGCTTATTTTTAATTGTCGATTTCTGACGAGTGGGGTCCAAAATTATATTTTTTCACTTTTTCAAAAGTAAACTCGAATGAGTGAGATATCATATCAAATAATGATTAATATTGTTGATAAAAAAAAGACGCGGTGATCCGGAACAATGAATAATTTTCCCTATAAAAGGAGCATGCTTTCTCATAAGTGGATCACAGAAATCTTAGAGAAGAGATCTAAGAAGTGTTTATAAACTTGTTTTGGGTCATACATGGATACCAAACTTGTTCTTGTGTTAGCTTTTTTGAGTGTACATGTAGTCTCATCGCCATTTGGGTTAGTACATGGGTCCACAACCATGTCACCATGTAGCCAAGCCCCCTACCCTGAACTATGCAATTCTCTAATTGGCACCAAACCTCTAGGAACCCCAGATGAAACCCAGTTTGATTTGCGTAAATCTGCCATTAGAGTCACTCTAAACCAAGCTCAACAAGCCTACAGTCTCGTCTCGTCCATGGACGTGAGCTCATTTGACAAGCGAGCGAAGTTGGCTTGGGCTGATTGTTTGGAGCTCTATGATGACACGGTTTACCAGCTTAACCGTTCCATCAACTCCAAAGACCAAACCAGCGCTCAAACATGGTTGAGCGCTGCGATCACCAACCAACAAACATGCAAGAATGGTTTCATTGATCTCAACCTATCTTCTCATTTAGAGTCCTTCCCTGTTAACATGTTGAGTGACTTGTCAAAGTTGCTTGGCAATTCACTAGCACTAAACAAGGCAACATCATCAATTTCATCTAATTTTGCTAAGATGACACGAAACAGACGCCTGTTGGCTGACGGATTCCCAGAATGGGTATCATCAGCTGACAGGAAACTGCTTCAGTCATCATCGCCAAGTGCCGACATTGTGGTGGCTCAAGATGGTTCTGGCAATTACAAGACCATCTCTGAGGCCGTGGCGGCTTCAAACGGTGGGACGAACAGATTCGTCATATACATAAAAGCCGGTGTTTATAATGAGAATGTTGTGATTAAGAGATCCATGAAGAATTTGATGTTTATTGGAGATGGAATTGATGCCACCATTGTTACTGGAAATAAAAATAATCAAGCTGGTTCCACAACTTTTCGCTCTGCAACTGTTGGTAAGCTTTGTAAAACCTTTTTTCACAATAACAAAAATAAAATAAAGTTAAGTAGAAAAAGCTATTAATTTAATTCTCAAACTTTAATTAGATAAGTTGGTATGCCCTTCTTCCATATTATTTCCTCTCCATCACACACAACTATAGTTTTAAATAATGATATTGGCATACCTATCGATATCAATGATAGGGTCATATATTGGTTAATATTAAAAGATTTTCGTCGATATATTAAATAATATAGATATTGAGAGTCTAAAATATTGATACCAGCCAATACAATATGTAACGGTTGATTTTTAAAATCTTGTAACGTTTTAAATAACAATATTAGAAGACAAATTAATGTTACTCGTGATGTAATAGTATCAGAAATATTGAATGATTAGGATTGGGAACCAAGTGACACAATTGTTTAATTTTTAAAAATCATAGCAATCGAATTGTTTGTATTGAAAAAAAATTGATACGCAATAAATTTTATTTTTATTTTTGTAGCGATGGTATCGGTATCGGAAGGCCAAAAATCCAAACAGGTTTAGGCCCAAACCTCTCTATTGGCCAATCTTTAAAACCTTGATGACATTATAACTCTTGGTATGACATTAAACTGTTGAGAGATTAAGACAAGACTGAAACCATTGCTTGTGCCATTAGTAAACACAATTTGTATTTATATTCATATTTGTTATCCGGAAAATGCGTTGGACCCCCAGTTGGGGGTGCTGGGGGTCCTTGCTGATTGGCTGAAATATTTTTTTTATTTTTTTTTTGGACTTCAGTCACTGACAGTGTGCCATGTGGCACTGGGGGTGCCCAGTCACTGGGAGTCCTTAACATCACTCTTGTTATCCTGGCCTCAATTAATGAGGTAGGCCACAAAGCAGCTAAAATTAAACCATTCTATGTGTCTAATCATATCATAAACCAACATTATTGTGTCAATGACAAAGAAAGAAATTTACTTTTAATTGATAAGTAATTAATATAAGTCAATTTTATTACAAAAATTAGTCATTTGATATTTAACTGTCTCTTAGGTGTTAGCGGTGATGGGTTCATTGCTCGTGACATGACATTTGAAAACACAGCCGGACCTCAAAAACACCAAGCAGTCGCACTTCGCTCTAGCTCTGATCACTCGGTCTTCTATAGCTGTAGCTTCAAAGGCTACCAAGACACCTTATACGTCTACGCCCTAAGACAATTTTTTCGCAACTGCAACGTATATGGAACCGTTGACTTCATATTCGGTAATGCGGTTGTTGTTTTTCAGAGCTGCAACATATATGTGAGAAAACCCATGAGCAATCAACAAAACACCGTCACCGCTCAGGGGAGAACCGATCCTAACCAAAACACAGGGATTGTGATCCATAACTCTATTGTCACCGCATCCTCAGACATGAAACCAGTACAGGGCTCATTTAAGACATATCTGGGGCGACCGTGGCATAAGTACTCGAGGACAGTGTTCATGAAGTGTACTCTAGACAGTTTGATTAACCCGGCCGGTTGGGCTCCATGGAGTGGAAGTTTTTTGAGCACACTGTATTATGGCGAGTACATGAACACGGGTGCGGGTGCAAGTACTGGTGGTAGGGTCAAGTGGCCGGGGTACCACGTTATAACAAGTCCCACAGAAGCCGGAAAATTTACAGTTGGAAATTTCTTGGGCGGAGATGGTTGGATTCCGGCCTCCGGAGTACCCTACACTGCTGGCCTGTGACACTAGTTTAATTATTATTATCCAGGTGGATGGCCTCATGGATGTTGTCAGTTGTACCAAATAAAAAAAAAGATGGTGATTTCCAGTACGTAATGTAATTGTCATATAGTTTGTGTTGGCTTGTAGATTTTATCATAAACTTGTATTAAGATCAAAGGCAATGAAATATTGATCTTTTATTGTTTTGTTTTTATTGTTCTTTATATATAAGTAAATCGGAATTGAGACTCATCAAAAGTACTCATTTTTTTTTTTTTTGGTGGGGGGGGAGGGGAATAGGTCTAATAATATTATCAACCATTCTTAAATTACTAATTTGGTGACTCTAAACCCATTACTAATGAGGTGAAAAAGTAAAAAAAATAAATAAATAAAAATATAGACAAAACACATACTCTTTGGGTTAGTGGTAGCTCTAATTAGAGCTCCCACTAATTTTCCTAATATTATGATACCAATTTAAACATTTTCATGCCAGCTAGCTAGTAGACTTGCGAACTAAACTGTTGGAATTCTTTTCTGTTTTATACTATATTTTATTATCAGTAATGATAGAGATCACTAAAAGTGGTGCTCTAAAGCAACCACTAATGGTGTGACATTCATTTTTTTAAAAAAAAAAACAAACACAACAATGCTGTGACAGTGGGTGGGACCTACTGCCATATGGTACTAATTATTACTCTCACTCATTTTCCTTTTATTATTTAACACTATAACACACACACACACATATATATATATATATATATAAATGATTTAAGAATTAAACTTTTTGTATTCCTAGAAGTAAAACTTTTGTGCAAAAAACAGTAAAATTAATTCTTATTGTCATGAGAATGATCACCAAAATGTTGTTTTGAAAAGTCCAAAAAATAGACTTTTGATGATAAAATTTGAAAATATCTAAATGCACTATTAGGGACAAAAAAAAATTGTGCGGAGGAGATTATTTTTTGAAACAAAAATTTTAGATCCAAAAAGATAATAATTCATTACTAAATGTCTTATTTTATAGCTAAAAATATAATAATGATATTTTAAATAATTAATATATTTCATTTTTAAAAAATAATTTTAAATGAAAAAATAATTTTGTCTCTAAATTTTTATTTTAAAAATCTTAATTGATTATGGTGTAACCTTATTGCTGTGTCATGACAATCTTAAACCCCAATTTCCCTTCCTAGTCCATCCTATAAGAGAGAAAGACGATGAACGGTTGTATTAGCTATGAACCAATAACTATTTAGCTTAATTAATAAGCACTCTAGCAAAAATTATTGCAGCCAAGTGTTTTATTATTAGTGTGTGTTTTGGGAAATTAATAAAAAGTTAGTTTTTGACTTTTTACAAAGTTTTTTAACTTTTTGAAAAGTAATATGAGAAGTTGGTAAAAAGTTAACTTTTTATTTTTTAGTTTAATATTTATTTATGGTGTCAAATCAAATTAAAATGACCAAAATATCCTTACCCAACATAAGAAATTTATTTTTTTATTTTTTTTTCATAGGCTCTAATTTGTAATTTTACACCTACGTTTTTAGCACTTGTCAACTTGTCAAACTAATTTTCTGACGTTTTTGGCATTTGCGTTTTTGGATATTTTGTCCAAAAACGTGACTTTTTGCTATGTTTCCAAAATGGCATTGCAGAGTTAAGGGTTTGATTTTCAACAATGGTTATTATGGTACGATGGAAAATATGTTCCTTATTTTTAACGAAGGCTTATGAAAGGTTTTTTACCAACTCAACTTGCACAATATAAAAAAAACCAGAGTCCGATCAGGGATGCCATCTAGTAAGCACTTGGATGATCAAATTAGCTACTCCTTAGAGAGTTCTTGATAGTTGATATATCTCAAGTGTTAAGATATTGCATGCCTTGGCTATAAGGGGTTCCCTCTTACTTATAGAGTTCCTTTGTTCTCTGTAATTATGACTGTTTAGCTGAGAGAAAATTCCTTGTGGCCTTCCTCAATTTGTCATTTTTTTTGGTCATTTTGGCTCAATTTGCTTTATTCTTATCTCAAACCACCTCTCTCTATCACACCATCAGAATTAAGAAAACTTATTGTATCCTCTGGACAAACTATGAAATGTTGAAATACAGCAACAAACTATGAAATGTTGAAATACAGCAAGATACTAAGGGACACTTGCCAAACGAGACTTTAATAGTTTTTTTTTTTTTTTCCATTTATCATAGATTAAAAAAAAATTATTGACTGATTTATTTATTTGTTTATTTTAGAAATAATAAGTATCCTTTAATTTAGGGATTTTAAATGGAAAGATAATAAAAATATTTCATAATCTCTTCATCTTAATTTCTCTCACCGATTTCCAAAAAAAATATTAAAACTTGTCTTCCTTCTCTCTCACTCAAAAACATCAGATAATATTTTTCATGAGAGTTATGGGTATCTATCTATATCTTATATATTATATTATAACATAAAAAAAAATTAAAAATCAAATATACAAACAGATAAAATTAATAAATTTGATTTTTAGTTATTCAGTTAAAATCTTTCTTTTGGATCTTAATATCCAATTTTAAATTTTAAATTTTTTTAAAGTTTATCTAAACAAATCTAATTTGAAAAATTGTATCCTCTGGACAAACTATGAAATGTTGAAATACAGCAAGATATTAAGGGAAGTTTTTTTTTTTTTACTTTAATAGTTTTTTTTTTTTTTTCCATTTATCATAGATTAAAAAAAAATTATTGACTGATTTATTTATTTGTCTATTTTAGAAATAATAAGTATCCTTTAATTTAGGGATTTTAAATGGAAAGATAATAAAAATATTTCATAATCTCTTCATCTTAATTTCTCTCGCCGATTTCTAAAAAAAATATTAAAACATGCATTCCTTCTCTCTTTTCCAAAAACTCAGATAATATTTTTCATGAAAGTGGTATATATCTATCTATATCTTATATATTATATTATAACATAAAAAAAATTAAAAATCAAATATACAAACAGATAAAATTAATAAATTTGATTTTTATTTATTCAGTTAAAATCTTTCTTTTGGATCTTAATATCCAATTTTAAATTTTAAATTTTTTTAAAGTTTATCTAAACAAATCTAATTTGAAAATATCTTTCACCATCATACTTTAAATCAATAAAACTCAGATGTCTATTACATATCTAACCCACATCATAACTTACCTAAATAATAATAATTAAAAACAAATAGAAACCACAAATAAATTAAAATTTAAAAAATAGAAACTCACAACTCCATCTTAAATAAATTGAAAAGAAAAAAAAAACAAAATAGAAACCACACAAAAATAAAAAAGATAAGAATTTAGATATGGATCTCAAAAAAATATGACAATATCTAAATTTAAATTATGATTTAGTAATATAATTATCTATTTTTCTGATGTATATCTATCAAAATTTTAATGGGACAAATTAATCAATTTTCAAATCTTATTTAAAGAATAATCTGATTAGTCATTCCAACTCTTAGACTTCGCGGACACTGGTGGAGGAGCTGACGGATTAGGTGGGGCGAGGTCTAAGTTGTTGGGGGTAATATCTTACAATTTCATAAATTTATTTGTTTTTTCCGTGTGATTCTCCTTCTCTACTGTTGGTTTTGGTTTTAGTAATGTTTATGTGTTGGTTTACAGGTTTGTATGGTAGATAAGAATTATTGGTGATTATGGTTGCAATCGAAGTATCCATGTCTGTTTTGTGTCAAAAATTTTGATCGGATTTTATTTTCTTCAATGAATACCATAAAAATTGAAGTAAAAGAAATGGGTATCAAATTTTTTATTTTTTATTGTCATTTTATTTTATAGAAAATGTGAAAATTGATTGAAAATTCAAGATTTTACTATAGCATTAGATTTTTGTACAGTATAATTAGGTAAATTTAAAACTTTTAAATATCATTGTGTTTTTTATTTTTATCCTCTTTCTATCCCATTATACCATTACTACTATTTGTTAGTTTGTTAATTATAATTTAATTAATTGAAAATGAAATTTTAATATACCTTTTCATATGCATTATAGTTAATTTATTACAGTTATAGTTGTATATAATAGTATAATATATGGGGATAATATCTAAATATAATTTCTATTTTTTTATGTGATTAAATAGTCTATGTTAAATATTATATAGAAAAGTTAAACGGCTTCTTTTCTCTAAAAAAAACCCCAAACTATTTTTTTTTAAATTTTTAATTTTTAAAATTGAAACATCAATTGTTTATGTCTATAAAATAAAACTGATAAACACACATCCAAAAGCTACATATTTTTTTCTTTTTATTTTTTTAATGTGTAGGATATTTACAAATGGAAAATGTTTGACACCTCAAATTTTTTTTCATAATCTGACCTATAATGATATAGTTATAAGTGTCAATTTTTATACAAATATGAGAAGAGAATTAATTAAATTATATATTTCAACCAACCACATACTCAAACTTTAACTATTTCAAGATGTAATTTCACTATAATTTCAATTAAAAGAATCTTCAACCTTTAATATTTTTTTTTATCAAATTATAATTTGACAAAAATTTAAAAAGATGAAACGTTAAAAGTTATATTGTTTTTTCATCAAAATTGGTGAAAAGAAAAAAAATTGGGATTAGAATGAAAGTTCTTTTAAAAATTGATAAAAATTTAATGAAAAAGTTAAAATAATTCATATCAAAACAAATTTTTTATTCAAATTTAAATCAAATTAGATAATAAAAAATTAGAAGAAAATGATGAAAGTTTGAAAATATTTTGAAACCTTCTTATTTTTAAAGATTAGAAATCCGTGTGTATTATATTCATATTGTATTTTTAATTATAAAATTGAAATCAAAAGAAATATAACTTAAATTATTGGATTAATAATAAAAACATCATATTAATTATTATTAAATATCACTTCACTTTACATTTAATAATAAAATTGTATATTTGTCTTAATTATAACTTTTAAATCTATATATTTTCATAACAAGAACAAGAATGTCATAACTCATTTAATCAGGTTTAACTTTTTTTTAATACAAATTATCAAAATTGCACTAAATAGATTTATATATATATTATATATCGCAAGACAAAATATTAAATTACTTTAAAATAATTATAATAATTTTTAAATTTTTTTTTATAAAATCATGTACATAACACGGGTTACCA